AGCCCAATGGGCCCTGCTCATGCTAGAGTTAACCCCCTACGAGCCTGCAGAGGCACTTCCCACGTCCTGCTGGCCTGTTCTGCCCCCATCCTGCCATGCCAGGGAAGCTCCGGCACAGGGTTCTCCCCAGGGGCTCAGAGGAATGGTCCCGGGAAAGGCTGCGTTGCCCACTGCCCAGGGTGGGATGGGGGCACTCTGTGGGGCAGTCACTTTGGCAGCTGTTCATCTGCAGGCCCAGCCGGGCGCAGCAGAGCACCAAGGAGGGGGTGCATGGGCAGAGCTGGCTGAAGGACGTGGGCCCTGGGCCAGGCTCTGAGGCCGAAACTCCAGGTTGCCCCTAGGGTGTGGGGGGCTACACAGGCCTTCTTACCCCACCCCTGACCCCCAAGCCTCTGGGCACCTCACCGGTACCGGCCGCCCTTGCCCCAGCTCTGCTGAGCTGCTGCCTGGCTCGTGAGCCACCCTCACTCCTCCGCTCACAGCGCGGGTGCAAGTGGGGGGCCCAGGGCAGGGAGGTTACAGTGCCGTGTAGATTCCTAGGCAGTGCCCAGCCCGGCTCCGGGCAGCTCGGCCTATATGGACTCGCTGGAGAAAGAGAAAACAGGAGTCCAGGATCCCACTCGGCTGCCACGTACACACAGACAGCCCCAGGGCATCAGCTCGGTACAGGCAAACAGAGCCCCCCAGCCAGCTCCACCATGCACCTCGTGCAGTGCCACCGGGGATCTGCCTTGCAGCCCTGGGACGCAGCGCAGAGCAGGGGGGGCTGGTTCTCCATAGGCCCCTGGTTCCTGCAGTCCATGGGCTTCTCCAGTCCCAGCTGGCAGGGGAGGTGGCATCCAAGACAGGGGGCTGGTGGTCACCACAGGAGAATGCTCTGAGCGTGCAGGGCTGTGGGAGGTTGGAGGCCTTGTGGGAGTGGGTGCAGGCCAGGGGGGTGACTCAGAGGAATTAGGCAGGAAGCGAGAGGGTGGGGGGCTTGGAGCTGGGGTGGGGAGGGTTGAGCCAAGTGGAGGCTGGGCAGACTAGAAGGGGAAGGGAGAGGTCGGGGCTAGGTGGGAGCACCGAGGAGCAACAGTACCCTCCCATCCTGCCCCTAGGGCTGCCCAGGGGTCCTGTTCCCATGCAGGAGGGGAGGGAAAAGGGTGCCCACTTCTCCCCCCCATGACACCCCTTACCAAGCTCCCCACTGACAATGACACTCACCTGCAGGGGAGGCGGCACTGGCTGCTTGCAGCCCCACCAGTTCTCTGGGCACCAGGCGTGGGACAGTCACCAGCAGAACCCAACCTGGTGTTCCTGGCACCAAATCACGGGCCTCGGCCCTGAACAAAACCAGGGACGGGCCCCAGCTCTCAGAGCCTGCCCCTGCAGCCGGCTAGGCGGGACCAGAGCCAGCCCCTAGAGGAACCCCTGGACCCACCCCAGGCCAGGGTGTTTACACAGCATCCCCTGCCCCCCACACACCCACCCAGGCCAGGGTATTTACAGAGCGCACACACACACACACACACACACACACACACACACCTGGGCCAAGTATTTACACAGCACTGCCCCCACCCCCAAATGCCCCCAGGCCAGGGCATTTACGCCCCTACACACACTGTCCACAAAAGACTTTGTTGACTGCTTCCCCCACAGCCTGGAAGAGGGGACGTGCCCGCGCCCCATCACACTGGGGGAAGACAAACATTCCTATGCTGTTTGAACTCTCAGGGGCGAGGGTTTCTAAGCATAAGCAAGGAGTCCCCAGCTGCTTTGCCTGGGTTAGCCCTAGAGGATATAGAGTCTGCTTATTAGAGTCTCCTCCCACTGGCATCAGTGCATTTATTTATACCAGAGCCAGGACCCAGCTCCCTGGGGCAGGGCAGGGCAGGGCGTCCCAGCTTGGGGCAGGGGTGCCAGACCTTCCCCGATGGGCAACAAGAGAGCAGTGCAGAGGAGCATGGGAAGGTCCTTGCCCTGCGGGCTAGTAGCTAGGCACTGGGCTCCCTGCTGGGAATGGAAACATTAGGCCAGAGCAAGATGACTGCTCGTGTTTAGCAGAGCTACAGCAGGAGGGGGGGTGGGAGCACAGGATCGGGGCCAGCCTGGGAGATGAGCAAAGAACTGCAGCTATCTCACAACATCTTCATTGCAAAACCCATCAGCTTCCAGCTTGTCATGGACCAGACAAGGTCTTTGGGCAGCCAAGCGCCTGTCTGCAAAAAGCATCAGGAAGGCGTTGGGGGCCACCGCAGGGAGCAAGCTTTGGCCTGGTTCCTTTAACATCTCCGGAGCATGGAGAATCAGGCCAGAGAGCTATCCAGCAGGACCCGACCCAATGAGACATCCTGGGGATCTGAGGCAATCCCAGCAAGCAGCAATGGCCGAGACACAGGTACTAGTGGAGAGTAATGGAGGCAGGACTTTGCAAAGGCCTGTGCAGTGGAGGGCTGCGTAGGCAGTCGCACCGGGCCGGGGCCAGCACCTTTCTCTAGGGCTGTGCTGCAGCTCCACCTGGAAAGGGGGTTCACACCCGGCTCCCCTTTACCAGGAGCGACAGAATGGAGAGAGCTCGCTAAAGAGCAGCTGCCCCGAGCGGGTGCTGGCAAGATGAGAGATGAGGAGAGACAAAGAGCTCAACCTGCGGCTAAGCCACAGCTCAGGGCTGAGGGGAACCTGCCACCAACTCAGGGTGTCCACCCTTCGGCCTCCTTGGAGTCAGTCAGGGTGACATAGGAGCAATGGGATCAAAGAAGGGGAACTCCGTCTATTAGAGAAAGCCCAGGGTAAGCCAAGACTTTGTGCTGCTGGCTAGGGGTGCTTGTGGACAGCAGGTTATCGATTAGCAATAATGGTGAGCACCAAAAATCTGCTGGGCGCTTCCGCAAACACACCATCCTAGGTGCTGCCCAGACAGCATGAAGAGTGCGTTGAAGGAGACTCAACTCCCAGTGGCTTTCAGTGAGAGATGGGTGCCTAACTCCCTTCGAGACCTTTGAAGATCTCACGTCTCCAGTCCTTCCCTCCGTTGCCAAGTGCTGGCAGATCCTTGGCTGAAGACAGCCTACAGAAATGGCAACCACTATTCTTTTAATGGGGACAATGCAACATTTCCTTAAGGGAAGGAGCAAGGTCTCCTTGTAAAGGGTCCCTGACTCACTACCGCACCGGGTGTGTTTGAGACAGGAGTGGAGCGCAGGGAAATGCCCCAGGTGGGCATCGCTCTTAGCCCCTGATACATTCAGCAACTGTAACCCCAGAAAAGCCCCCTCCTTTGGGTGTCCGGCAGAGAGCAGACCCCAGCCAGGGAACCAGGACAAAAGGTTTATTGGATACATCGGATACATTTACACATTTAACAGACTGAATACACAAAATAAATAATTCTATACACTCATTTTAACATTACAGGTTAATTACCATGGATCAGATCTCACGCTACAAGAGATTCCTTAGTGTACAAAAGGAGTCAAAGGCAAATCACAGAACCGGGTACTTCTCAAGACAAACAGCGCATCCTTTTGAGAGGAGACAAAGTGGGACATGATGCGAGTACCTTCAGCAGCTCCTACAAGGCAAGGGAAGCCCTGGCAACAAAATTGGAGCCAGCGCATCAAGACCTTCAGTCCTGAGGGCTTCCAAGAGGCATCTGCATGTCATGAAAGGTAACAGGAAGGATCACAGCATCTTCGTGTGTGCTCATGGCAGGTGCTCCGCCTACCGGGTACCTACAACTTGGGCCCAGATTTCTTCCACAGTCAAAAGGCAACCACAGTGCAAAGTTCTCAGAACACAGCCAGCAGCTCGTCTGGTACCGAGGAGAGAATCTACAGTATGTTGTGCATAGGAGGACAGAGGGAAATGCAGATGGAGAAGGGAATATCGTCAGGCAGGCAGGTGGCCTCTCCTCCCAGGCACTGTTCACCAAGGGAGTGGTCAGAGCGGCAAGGGACAAAGCTGTGCTCTGGGCACGCAGCACCATCAGAGAACACCCTTCCTATTGCACGTCTTTGGCAATGCCCCTGCTCAGTAATGCATGCATCTGACACACAGGGACATGCCCCTGTAGCGTTTAAGGGCTGCATAGTTATCTAGGCTTTCTGGGGGTGGAGATGAATAGTTTGGACGAAGCACCAGAAGCCTCGTGAGAGGGAGAGCATCAACACAGTCCACACAAAGTCTGGTACGAGGCACCAAACAGCGCAGGCACTTAGTGATAGCTTTTTAAGAGATACAGGAGATTTGGAAACTGCAAGGGCACGTGTGACACACGCACATGCCCACTGGGCACACACAACAGCCCTTTCAGTGTGCAGTCAGGAGCAGCTTTCTGCAATGCTTTCCAAGTGTTTGCTTCTCTAGGAAGCCACTGTTGGCTCCTGTCTCTTCCAGTCACACACTATTAAGGATTTTTCATATTACAGCAAATCAGATGAATGTGAGTTATCAAACATCAGAGTTTGCAGGAGGATGTC